TCATGAAAATTAAAGAAGATTTTAATAAAGTTGGGTCAAACCAATGGTTTGTATTGTAGCACTTTTCCCTTCAACAAGTGAAAATTCTGCTTTTAAATACAGTCTATGTATACCTATCACACTATAAAAATTATTTTCATTCATATACAAAACTATTACTAGGATTGCATATATTTAGGATGACGCATATATGCAGTCTTTGAAATAAAGCAAAAATTAACATAAAAAGGGGTTAACATAATGCTCGATTTTAAGGGTTAATTGTGTGAGTTAAGAAAAATAATTATATTTTTTAGTGTCACGAAAATTACCGTTAGCTTTTTGCGTTTATAAAAATTTGGAAAAGCTTGCGGTTTCGGAAATATAGGGTGTCAAAAATTCAAATTTTACGATTTTCAAGAGGTGATAACTTGAGAGGGGGTGGAGATGGAAAAAAAATTTCTTGTAACGAAATGAACTATTTGTTAATGTCTAAAAGCCCCTAAAATTTCAAAGTTCTAGAATATAGGATCTAGAAGAAAAACGACATCAAAAATTTGGAAAAAAAGGACTTTAGATAACGGTAAATTTCAACGGCCATTTTGTTTTTCTAAAGTTTAACTATAGTATACCGCGCTAGGGGAAGCAAGCCGCTGCCTTTCTGCGTTTGCAAAATTTCAAAAATACTTATGGTTTCATTGCAACAAATATTTAAAAAAGGCCATTTTTAGGGTTTTTGGGGGATATAACTTCTAGAGGGGGGGAGATAGGTAAAAATTTTGTTCTACGAAAATAAGTTTCCAGTAAAGATCTATGTATATATAAAATTTCAGCTTTCTATCTTCAAGGGTGTAGAAGTTTTGTAAACAGACACACGGACGGACGGACGGACGGACGGACGGACGGACGGACGGACGGACAGAGTGAAACTAATAAGCACTTTTTTCAAAAATTTTTTTGGAAAAGTGCTAAAAATGAATGAACACTTATAATTAAAAAGTTTTAATTGCAAAATATTTTATGCATTACATTTTCCATGCTTTTTTTGCTCTCTTGTTTTGCCTAAATACTTAACCATATTATCATTGAATGTGATCAAGAAAAAATATATTAGACAAAAAGAAAACAGAATTTTATGATTACAAAAATAATAATAGTAATAAAGAGCAGGAAAAACATTAAATTCGCACAACTAAATTTCCGCTTTATATCAAAGTGAGGCGAAATTTTAAATGATAAAAGATCAAGATTTTCTTTTTGGATTTTATTATTTTTTTTTGTGCAAATATGGCAAATCAGAAAAGTAGTATAGGGTCTCTGTTGGTTAGCAGTGAAGCTGAAGCTGAAATCAAAAATTCTGCTTTAATACAACAATGTAAGCAACATTAGCAAAGAAAGCATAAACTGGCTTAAAAAATTTAAAAGGGTAAAATTGAATTTAAATAAATTTATCTTATTAATATAGTAGTCACCATTAACCCACATTTTTTTAGTTGTTTGTTTGAGAACAGTTTCTCTCTTCCGTATAGATGAGAAGAAAACGAAACGACTTTATCATTTAATAAATATCATAATCATATTTATTTTATATTTAAAATCTAGGGTTTAATTTATAATCGAACGCAAAACTTGCTTGTTGTTTTGACATGTATTTAGGTTTTTTATGAAACTAACATGATCACTAAATTATTATTGCCAGATTTAGTTCTAAATCCGGTTATTTATAAATAAGTGCGAAGCTTTAAAAGTGAGCAATTGCTCTTACAGACATTTTCAATTATTTCCGAAACTTAAATAGTAGAGAGATGCTGAATTTGAAAATTTTCCTTAGGTTTTGGGTAATATGATTAATTAAGTATGGCTGAATTTGTTTTAGCAAGAATAGAAATTTATAATTGCCTTTTAATGTAAAGTAAATTAAAAATCACATGAAAATCATCAAAAATATCAGTATGCATGCCCTTACTTTTACAGTTGATAACGTTGAAAATTAGGATATTATTTTTGAGAATTCACAAAATATTATGGATGTGTATAATAAATAGTATATATAAAATATAAGTATGTACTTGTATAACACATATACATAGATAGATTTAACATCACTTAATGCAATGATAGTGAAAACTGGTATGCACTGCAGAAATCGCGTACTTTACATTATTTCAGAAATCATATCATCTACTTTTATTTAAATTGGAAGTGCATTTGTAAATCCTGTATTTGTAGCACACAGGAAAATCTTAAGTCTCAGTGGACTTGGGTATTAAGAGTTATCATATAAATCTCGACTAATAACTTGCTATAGGTCTCTTATTACCACTTTTTTTACGAGGCAAATGTTGAGCACGAAAATATTACGCACACAGGTGGAATCAATTTGATTAATGAAGGAAACTATATCATTTATATCCTTTGTTATTGCAGAACAAAAGATGCTTGAAATCTTAACTGCTTCATGTGAAATAATAACGACTTCAGTTCTTAATCATTATTATTTAAATTCAGGCGGTGAGTTGATATCATTTGTAGACAATGATTTTGGGAAATTATGTGACTATTTTTAATTCAAGACATTTGTGTCTAAAGTTAATTTTATATAAAATAAAAATAATTGAATATTTCAGTAATATATTCGCTACTGTATGCGGCATGAGCCGTGGCGATTGTGTTGTATGCTGTTATAAAACATAATTTTTTTCTTATTTTGATTGTTTTTTTGAGAATATTAATTTCTTAAAATGTCCATAATTTAATTAAATTGCCAGTTTCCATAACTTAAAATGAAAAATTTTTCATGATAAATATCATAATTTGTTGGTCTTTTTATATGTATGTATGTCGCATATTACAATATTTGTATATATGTACATACATATGCATACATAAGTATAAAATATTTTTACAGTATATTTTTAAAATGGGAGACGACTGGAACTTATTAAAGGAAATTTTTACATAACTGTCTTTATTTTATATTTTTTATACATTAATTTTGTGTGATGTGCATACATTAAACTATTAGAATGAATTGCAGCTGTAAATATCAAAAATTAATTAGATGATAAAATCAAATAATAAATGCAAAAAAATTTTCCTTGAGAAATGAACAAAAAAAAATAAAAATATAATTTCTTTTTTTTTTTGTTTTTATTAGCTTGTATAACAGTTTTCATGTCAGATGTTTGTATAATTAACTTTATGAAATGGAAAAAAGTCAAATTTAAAACTGCAATTAAATAAGGGTGCTTTTGTATATTCGGAAGTTTAATGACAGTTTTAAGTCGAAATATGTCGTAAAATTTTATTTTTGAAAAAATAAAAAATTTGGAAAAATTTTACTGAAGATTACTCATGTTTATAATCCCAACTTCCTTAAGAACAAGGATAAATGCCATTTTTCTATTTAATGAACTGTCATCCGCTGTCAATGTCCAGGCCTTCAATTTTGTTACGAGATTTAAACGACAAATTTTTCTTGAAAGTATAAAGTATTACACCACAAACGCAATAGCGCTATGCCGCAAACTGCAAAATTTGACAGCAAGAAGTTTATAATGTATATTTTTTTTTTGTTGCTGTGGCCTTATTGTGTTTTTTTAAGGTTTTAAGTCAAGCTGACATTTTTCCAGTTACTAAATTTTATAATCTAGAAGTGCGGGCCTTAATTTGTTTGAATAATTACGCATTTAAAAAGTGAATATTTTTTTTTTCAGTGGTCATTGAAGCGTTTGCCATAGTTTTTATGTCATTGAATTTTAATTTATTTGATATTCATTTCTCTTATGCAGTAGCATCATAAATTCAAAAATCGAACTTTTAAAGCTTTTTAAAATACAAAATACTGGATTTGGAAACTATTTGACATTTTTGTTTGTGAAAAATAGCCAATAGTTTTTAAATTTATTAAGTAGCTCTATTTTTCATCATATCATTGAGTAAAAGGGGGTACCTTTTACCCTTTGAAAAGCGAATCCTGAATAATTTTTTAATATCTTCTGAAAACTATACTTTTAATTTTATTATATTTGTATATGTATTTTACGTATATATGTACGTAGTTATTTTACATTTCGTACTTAGTTGAAGTCTTTTAAAATTTCTAATTTGTTCTGCAGCCATATGCTCAATTTTAAACTTCGAAATTTTGGTTTCAGATAAAATGTTATAACGAATAATGAAGTTATGAAACGTAAATCTTAAGACCTCTATTGTATAAAATGTAGAACAAGTTAAATAAGGGAAGTAAAACATTGAGTAGATTTCAAATAAAATTAACACGCAAATTATTTGAATTGTGATTAACGAAACAAAAAGATATGTGCATATAGTTTCAATCAAAGTGACTTACGAATAATAATAGTGCTTAGTTAAATAAGTATTGCCAAATTTACTTTTTCGTGTTTTTTTACTTTGTTATTGAAATTGCAATTATTTTTCACCTGAAGTTTTGTTTCAGGTAAATTTTGAGAAAAGTTTTTGAAACATTTTATTTAACAAAAAAATTAAAATAAAATTTGACATAAGAATTAAAGCTTTGGATACATTTAAAAAAAGCGTACATTTGTAGTAAAACGTGTAATTTTCATGATAAGAGCAACTATTCTACTTTCAAATGTTCTAAATCAGCAGTGCCTAATCAAAATTTTATTGTAGCCGCAATTGCTATTTTGCAATAACTTCATATTAAAAAAAATAGCAAATTAAAAATTAATAAAAATTTCAGAGTTCCTGTGACGATTTCAAACAACTAATGTGTTTATAATTATTTTTAATATTAGACGTTTGTAGGTTGGACTAGTAACGAATGCAGTTTGCATAATAATAAATTTAGAAAAACCTAGATTTTACTCATATCTTTAGAGATTTTCTTTCTTGCATTAAAACAAATGAAGACCACATTATCTATTTTTACAGAAATTTCAAAATTAAGATTATAATTTTATTATATGAGATTATATTTCATGAATTTTAAAATAGAAATATTGAATTCTATATTATGACTTTTTTTTTAATTTCAGAAGTTCATCAGAAGTAAAAAAAGAACACATTAAACGTCCGATGAATGCGTTTATGGTATGGGCACAAGCAGCAAGAAAAGTTATGTCTAAACAGCATCCACATTTGCAAAATTCAGAATTAAGTAAATCATTAGGAAAGCTATGGAAGTATGTATTTATATTATAGTATTTTTCATTTTTAATATTTTACAAATGTTTTAATTTTTTAATTATACTTTGATTTCACTTTGATACGATACAGCATGTAAATGTGTTTGTCGATGGCTTTGCCTTTGAACTCTTTAGCGAGAATATTTACTATAAGCATAAGATGTCATTATCTTTTTTTTTTGTCTTAGGATTCATATAATTCCAATACATTTTACGGTTCATAAAAAGTAATCGAAAATGATAAGAGTTTCAGATGAAAATGGGAAAAGAAAAGAAGAAAAATACGAAATGGGCAAGTATGAAATTAGTCAGTACAATTGTGATTCTTTGAAGTCTACAATATGTACTTTAAATTGAGCGTACATATGGTCTTCAGTATCTCAGACAATTAAAAAACGCTGTGAATTCGTTTTGATTTTTATAAACATGCCTGCCTATTAAAAACACATGTATAATATACATACATACGTTTGTGAACGTATTTGAATGCGCGTATGTAAATATGTTCGCAAATATATTCTTTTCTGTAATTGTTTTGAGGGCAAACTTTATCTTTAAATAAGTATTATTATTATTGTTGAACAATTTCAATTTAAAAACAAATAAGAATGTGACAATCACGTCCAAATGAGTCTTCTAATAAGCTACATACGTAACTTATTGTTGTTTTTTGGTTAGCTACGTATAAATTTGTGTGTACTCTGTGTAATTTGCTTTTTCTTTTGCATATATTCCTTGTAAAAAAGTTTCATAGTTATAGAAATTCTAAAGTAAATTTTTTTAATTTTACTTTAGAATTAAAAATTTTTAATTTTTTACTTTTATTATTATCGAGCAGAGTTTACGAACTAATTTATAAAATTTATTGCGTTTTTAATAAACCATTTTTAAACTGCACCAGCCCCGACTAACAGCTTTTCGTAATATGTTCTTCATTTTTATTTTATAATTACGATTTTATGTTACAAACATTTTTATTAAAAATTTAATAAGACAGTTTATCAATTTGAAATGCTACAAGAAATGAGTATATTCTCTTATAGTGAATTTAAAGACTATAAATAAATAGCAAAACACACGCTTGTCTTGATTATCCTAGTAACTAGTTTATTAGTTATTCTAGTTATAGTTTAATATAATTTTTTTTTTTTTTATATAAAGGGGACTCGATAAAGCTGATAGACAACCCTTTATTGATCATGCAGAAAAACTTCGCGCCAATCACAAGCAAGAACATCCTGATTACAAATATCAACCCAGAAGAAAAAAATCTAAACTTATGAACAGCATAAATTTGAATCATGGCTCAGCAAGCATTTCAATAAATAGTGATGCTGTTACAAATAATTTTGTGAAACATAATCATCAGCAAAAAATAAATTCAAAAAATGAAATCGCTAAAATCCCTGTATCTTTAAGTGCTGTAGCAACATCATCAGGAATGATAGTATCCGTACCAGAAATTTCATCTGCAAATAGGAAACCTTATAATACACTTAATAATCGTAGTGATAAAAGTAAGAAAGCAAATGCATTATCTGATTTTAGTCCAAATTCTTCTTTTAACGGCATCTCTAAGGAAAATTTAAATAAACCTTGTAACACCCTTAATATAATAACTAATATAAATGAACAAAAAACGCTTAAAACAAAGTTGCCAAGTGATAAAAATGAAGATGAAAATAAACAAAATCCATACACTACAAATACTGTTATTTCAAATTTTACGAATTCCTCCAATAATGAAAATCCTGTTCTCTCTGATGAAGGAACAAGTAATAAAGTTTTGGGATGTGCTACTGGTTATGAAGATTCTTTATGGAAAAGAATTGATATAAAAACTCCAGATATAATAAGAAAATTAGATTATATTAGACAAATTGATTCTCCATGTTCTACATCAAGCTCATTACTCTCAATCAATGAAGTACATCCATTAACTCCTCCTGCAACTCCATACGCAATATCAACACTTACGAATATTGGCACTAGTAATATTCCTTTATCAACTGTAGCATCATCAACCTTATTAACGAAACGGATATCTCCTGAATTACGTAGTACGCCAAATTCAAATCAACCTTACGTTTTGTCGAACCAATTGGAACCACATAACAGTACCTATAGTGAATTTGAAAGAATAGCTGCAACAATTCAAACTCCATCTATATCATCCTCATCAGCAGGGTCATCATTAGATAGTCAATCAGTTTTTCCTCTCAATTATGAATCTTATTTAACTTATAATAATCCATTTCAAAAATCAAATAATAGTATGTATTCAGATATTTATGTAAAACCATCCTTTATACAACATTACCATCCTCAAGTTTCCACATATGGTCAACATGAAAATATTCATGATTGTAATTCTTCATCTTCAACAAATAATAATGTATTAACATCATACGCTCAATGTGCCATAACACCGTCAATGATTCCAGTCACATCAAGCACTTATATAAATTATTCAAGCCAATCAAATCATCATCAGCAGCAGCAGCATCTTTCAAGTAATTTACAACAATCAATGCAATCAACAGCTTCAAATCATTTGATGCAAAATTTTTTGGCGCCAATCGATACAGATTATGTTGATCCCAAAGAAATCGACCAATATTTAGAAGATGCATCTTCATCGTCATTAACAGCTGCAATGCATCATCAACAAAATCAAATCCATAGCTCTATGAAAATTCCAACATGCCATATATGCACTGGATCAGCTTCAGCTATAACGACAACAACAACAAAAACTTTAAATAAAATAAAAACCTCAATGACAGGAACAATTATACCACCAAGTTCATTGTTATTTAATAAAATTCATGAGAATAACTTGTTAGAATTACAACGTGTTGACAATAAATGCATGAATGAAAATTTTAATAAAACAAATTTAGCGAACGTTCAAGGCGCCATACAAATTTTAAATCATTCAACTGGCACAAATCTTTCAGATGGTAACAATAATGATAATGATGATGACGATGACAATGATGAAGATGATGCCAATGAAAATTCTCACAATAAAGATAATATTAATGGTAATAGTTATAATAATGATAAAGTTGATTATTATCAATCAGTGAATAATCATATTATAGAATCAGCAAATTCAACAAATTATCCTTATGCAACATGGAATTATAATAATTCATAGATATTTTGTTTTTGTAATATATGTATATGTATGTTCTTATATTCCATGTGCATAATATTATGGATGCTTTACAAGTTAAGATCGATTTCGGAGGTTGTTACTATAATGTGCTATTTTTTATATTAAATATACACAAGTAATTTGATTTGGAAAGAGTTGGAAAGTTAATAGGGACCTTGAGTTAAAAAATAATTGTTTGTAACCACAGAATTAACTTCAGAAAATTATATATGCACAAAATATTGAAAATATGTAAATCTGCCGAGAAGCAAATAGCAACAGTTGTATATTTTAACGATTTTCTGTTCAATACAAGTTAATTAAATTTATATGTAGAAGTTTTTCAAGATTAGTTGTAAAACACTTTTCAAAATAATTTTTGATTGTTTATGTTCGTATAATATGAAAATCGAAAAAAGTTAAGTTCGAATAACTAAATTTAAAATTTCTCGAATTGATTTTTTCAATAAACATTGAATAAATGTATATTTTAAATACTGCAATTTTTTATATACATATTTGTTAAGACCCAAACGTGTATAATATTTTTAGTTTTTGTGTTTTTATTAAATTTGTTTGTACATAAATATCTTACATAAGAAAAAAACTAGGCTCCTAATTATGTACCTAACCGGGTGATAAAAAAGGTGAGTGAGTATTATACACTCATCCCTTGTTTTACGGAACTAATATGTTCCGAAAATATTGTGCGTAAATCTAAATTCCATAAACCGAATCTTTTTACTTACATTACGTTGCAACCACATAATTTTTTATCTAAACTTATACAGGCACATATATTTCTTTTAATTTGCAAAAAATATAGTAGGGAAGTAAATTCTTTGCATTATTTTGCTCTGATCTCTGTTTCATGTAAAACATTAGAGTACATATACATACATAATCACAATGGTTTTTATTTATCTACATATTATTTAACATATAATGTATATATTAAAATAAAAAAATTCGTAGAATTAAGTTTTTTTTATAAAAATTGTAATTTTTTTTTACTTTTTTTGCATTTAAAAAATTTTCCGTAAATCGAATTTTTTTTACCATAAAAAGAGACTTTGGTTTAATTTTTGAATTCGGTAAAATCGAAATTCCATATGAAGAGCTGTCGTTAAACGAGGGATGAGTGTATATGTAAGTGTTCTAGAATTGTAATTTTCAAGTGAGAAGAATTGTTTTTTACTATGTCTAGTTTTTCTCAAAATATATACTTCTAAAATTCAACATTTTGGTCACAATTCATTCGCTTTGTTTTTGAAGGTGACAAGTTATGCTGATATTTTGAGAAAAAATGTAAATCTTGTTGGGAAAATGACAAAGAGGATGCATAATTAGGCTGTAAGCAAATTAAGCAATTAAAGTTTAGCAAATTAAGTTATAACTGTAAGTGTAAAATAATTCTGATAATTTTAAAGAGGAAGAGCATAATTTTTTAATTTTATATTAAAAATCGAATATTTTTAAAGTTTTTTGAAACCATACTATAAATCTCGTTGAATTGTTAATTAATGTAAAATTATTATATGAAAATTTCAAAAACAGTGAATAAAAACAGTAGATTTAAAAAATAGTTCATTCAGTTGCATTTTTTATAATTGCAGATGGTGTTTTCTTCGTTACAGGGAAAGAATGAATTCATTTCGAAATTCAGTTATTATGAAGGAGTAAACGTTAACGACTTGACATTTATCTTCCATATTAAAGTAGAAAATTATCTACTTGAATAAATATGCGTAACTATTCTGTTGTATATTATTTTGTTATATTTTAGACTGGCGCTATTGGGTGTGTTATATATCTTATATACGCACTTACACTACTTAGTTATTTACTTAGTCGTCTGATGTTGAAGAGAATATCGAGTTTCTAACTTGTCTGGTGTTTGTTTCGTTAAAATGAACGGCTTAACGAATACTGATGAAATCATAAGTATTATTAATAAGATAAAATTACTTTCATTCATATTCGAATATATTTCAAAAATCGCATACATTTAGAATGAACAATTTATGCAGTCTTTGAAATAAAGCAAAAAAAAGTGTGTTAACATAATGCTCGATTTTAAGGGTTAAATGAGTGTGAAATAATTATATTTTTTAATGGCATGGAATTTACCAGTTAATCATTTACCATCCTAAAGCCTAAAAGCTGTTAAAATTTCAGACTCCTGTACAACCTGATATCTAAAAGAAAATTGATATCAAAAATTTCGAAAAAAAATGGATTTTAGATGACGTTAAATTTTAACGGTCATTTTTTTTTTAAAGTGTAAGCATAGTATGCCGCGGTAGAAGAACAAAGCCATTACTTTTTTGCATTTGCACAATTTGAAAAATGGTTATTGCAGTGAATAAATAGTTGAAAAATGGCATTTTTAGGGTTTTGGGGGGTATAACTTTTAGAGGAGGAGAAATAAGTAAAAATTTTCTTCTACGGAAATAAATTTTTTGTAAAGATCTAGGTACGTGTATGATCTATGTATATAATTTTAGCTTTCCATACTGAAATTTACTGAAATACAGTTTTGTATACATGAAATAAGCACTTTTTAAGTGCAAAAAATTGTAAATACCAAAGAAAGCACTTACATAATATTTTGTTGTTACAATATTTTTGCTGCTGAAAATTCGAATTTAGTATATGCCTTTGCTCTAGCTTAAAAGTTATTGTGAAAAATAAAGTATTGAAAATTTTGAATGATTAAAAAAAAATTACTCACAACCGAACGGTTAAAATGGTGTCTGTCTTCAATGTTCAACTTAACAACCATGTTTTTTTATCCGTTGCACAAATTGAAACGGACAATATATATAGACCTTTCATTTATATGATTTATAACTTAGTTTTGAGTTCGACATTTTTTTAATAATTTCAACATTTTTCATGTTTTTCCTAAAAAACATTTTTCAGCTGGGCTATTGGTAAAAGAAAGAGGATTCAGCATTCAAATTCATAATTTAGCATTTTATATTTTGCTATCCAGGTAATGTATAAATGTTTCCAAAAAATACCCAATGTTCAAGCAGTCCTTTTCAAATTTTTTTTGAGTATGTCTGGATAAACAGTTAGTACCTTCTTTCAAAACTAATTTTTCCACCATTGCAGCTGCCATGGAACACCAAATTATCAAGCTATTACTACCATGTTTTAGTTTTTAAAGCAATTTTTGAGCGATCAGGCGATGCACAAATGTTGAATTTACATTCATCAACAAATATTACATCTTCGCACAATGAATTTGATTTTGAAAAAAACCATTACAAAAGCAAACAAATTAGTTTGGAAGAAAGCTTAAATCTGCACTGTTTAAATTTGTTCCCTAAGATATGGTTTTTTTTAGAAACTCGAACATGAAATTGTTAGAAGTGCCTATTTTCTTACGTACTATCTCTGTGCAATCTTCTTTCTTAAATGAAACATTGATCATCTTTGCGAGAGCTGAATTTATTATTTATATGGCTTTTTATTAAGTTCGTTCAAAACTCATCTTTCTTCTGTGCTAGTTTAAACTTTCGGTTCATTACTTTAGTTTTTGAAATCTAATCTAATAAATTTTTATTTTTTAATCTATTCAGCGGCGGATAATATTGCTAATACAAGTCCTCGGCACATTTAATAAATTTAAAATTGCTTAAAAGGCAACAAGCTTAATAGTGTCAGAATTGCTATTTTTATCTTTATCAATTAGAACACTTTTTTTTCGGGTTTAATAATGCCTTAAGTTTTCAAAATTTCGTCTCTTACTGGAAATATATCTAGATAAATATCCATTTACATTAACATACAATTTTTCATACAATATACGGTAATCTAGCCAATCAATGAAATCATTTTGAGTTTTTTTATACCCTGCACTTCGTGAAGGGTATATTAACTTTGGTATGGAGTTTGTAATTACTTAAAGGAGTCATCTGCGGTATGGACATGTATATATATTCTTGCTCAGCGTAAAATTCTGCGTCGATTTAGACATGTCCGTCCGTCCGTCCGATCGCACGATAACTCAAAAACGAATAATGCAATCGACACCAAACTTTCACAAGTTTTTTCTTTTGTGCCAAGGACGAACCCCATTGTTATTGGACTAATGCGGACAACGGGTTCGGGTAGCTGCCATACAACTCTAAGAGTTTATTTTAAATATTTCAAAAACTATTAAAGGTATGAATATAAAATTTTGTATGCATGTGTCCAATTATATTCTACACATGCTCTAAAATATATAATGGGATAGCTGCACCGGTTCGGGTGGCTGCCATACAACTCCAACAGCAAATTTTTTATATTCGGCAAAATAATAAAGTCAGATAAATGAAACTTGGCAGTCATGTGTCTAATTATGGGTCAAATATATTTCTGAAGTTTTAGGGAAATTGCTTGACAGGTTCGGGTACCTGCCTTACAACTCCAAAAGCTAATTTGAAACATTTGGAAAAATAATAAAGTCAGATTCATTAAATTTGGCAGTTGTGTGTCCAAGTATAGATCAGATATATTTGTGAAGTTTTAGTGGAATTGCTTGACAGGTTCAGGTACTTGCCATGCAACTCAAAAAGCTAACTTTAAATATTTGGAAAAATAATAAAGTCAGATTCATGAAACTTGGCAGTCGGATGTCCAATTATAGGTCAGACATATCCGTGAAGTTTCTATAGAATGATTTCACAGGTTCGAGTAATTGCTACACAATAACGAAGGGTGCAGGGTATAATTCAATCGGTTTATACCGACTGAAACGTTTTTACTTGTTAATGTACATTTTGGCTTCATCAACTTGATTAATTTCTTTCATCATAGAATGTAGGTGTATGACGTTAGAAACCCAAAATACAGTTATGTAATTTAAGACTGTCTTCACAAGGATCGTTTTAATGAAGATGATACAAATGTTAAAATTTTTTTGAAATGATTCAATCCTATTAATATATGAATATTGTAATGTTCATATTAATAGGATTAAGCTCCTTTGTTTCTGTTTACTTTCG